ATCCGCAACCTTCACACCAGGCAGAAAAGTCCCCATGTGGTTCTCCCGGTCATTGCATACCTAGCTATGTGTGTTTCTAATGGTGTGAGTAAAGGCTCTGCAGCTCTATGAATCCTGCAGCCATGCTTAAAGAGCACAAACGTCTGTTCATTACAAAATACAGCAGTTTGTGAATCTGGGGTGTTATTGTTAGTGTAAAGAAATGAAAAAAGATGCATGACAATGATCAACAAACTGAACAGAGCACTTAAAAAAAAAAAAAAAAAGTCCATATGTGTGACTCTTACATACAACACTGCTTAGCTTTTTTTACTTAATGTTTTTCTTTGCCTTTTTGGGGGGGGGGGGAAGGGGGAATGCGCTTTTTGGGCGTTTTTTGTTGTTTTTTTTAAATATGGGAGTGTCGTGATTTCTTGTCACATGTTCAAATTTGAGATTCAGGATGTCATTGACAAGTCTCCTAAAAATAAACTCCTTGTCTGAAATGACACCACACTGCTGATTGTCTAATACTGCAGCTTATGAAACGAAAGGTTATTTTCACGTCTTAATTGGTGCAACTTCTCTTACATTTCATGAAGATTTAAATTTAGGTAAAGTGTTTATTAATGGAGAGGGGGAAAATGAAAATTGCAATAAACTCAGAAATATGTGCAGAGTGCCCCACTAACTGGCATTCAGCACAGAAAAAACATTCTAACTTTTAAGAATTTATGCTATAAGTGTGAGAGGCCCCTAGAGGCCTCCTAATTCAGCAAGGAACTTGAGCACATGGCTAACTTCAAGCATGAGTAGTCCCACTGAAGTCAATTCATGTGCTTAAGCAGCTTGTTGAATCAGGGCCAGAGCTCAGTTAGGAGGGGAATTTTGTGAAAATTTCTGGTCCTTAATTCAGTTTTCAGTTTTACTTTGCACTTCATCTTTAAGCAATAGTGCCTTCAGAGCCAGGCAGTCAGTGAACACCTGGAGGAATTGACGCTATAAGACAAAACTAAAGACAATTAATTCAGCCAATCAATAATTGATAAAAGATGACCAGCCTGAATGATCATCGATGCTATTAAACCATGAAAATACAGAAAGCGTAAGGCATCCTGCTACTCCGGACTGACAAGGTGAAATGTTATAGGCAGCTTGACAGCTGGTCAATTAAAACAAAAAGTGAAAAGTCGTTTCAGGTGCTTCAGCGTCTCCTGAGTCACATGCTAATGTTTCTATTTTTACAATCACATTTTGGGTTTGTTTTTTGTTTTTGTTCATTTTATTTTTTTTTAATTCTCTCAGCCCATACTAGGTGAAAGTTCCATACAAACAGGGAGAAATGACTATTCACAAAGTAAACTGTATGAACACAGGGAAGAAAAAAATCTTTCATTTCTGACAGTGTAAGCTGTTTCTTGTCGAATTACAAGATAAAAATTAAGATAGAAATGTGACTTCCCCCCCCCCCCTTAAATATTTTTCCTCTGTAATTCCCATTTTCTTTCTCCCTCAACTTCTTACCTGTAGGAGGCAGCAGGCTTCTATCTGTTTCGAAAATATTTATATGCAGCTTCATGGTTCACCCAACTTTTGACATTAACTGAGAACTTTTTGAGACTTAAAATAATAGGAAAGGGTTAACTGGTAATGTGAACCTTGTTTTTTTTCTTTTTTTTTTTCAGTTTTCTGAACATCATTGTTCTCAGCAGTTTCCCCTTCAGCTTTGAAAGTTAAGGTTGAAGTCTGTGAACCTGCACAGATTTTTCATATGCTGTAACTTTGAAGTCAGTGGGATTATTCATAGTACATAAAATTAAGCACAGGTGTAAATCTTTCCAGGATTGTGGCTCAAACCTGAAAGTTCAAGGTAAAATTACAAAAGTAAGGAGTTTTTAGCAATGAGTAAACCTTAAGGGATTAAAAAGCCTGATTTTTTTTTTTTTTTTTTAAGGTATTTAAGCACCTAACTCCTATTTAAATCAGTGGGAGATAGGCGCCCAGTTATGTTTAGAAATCTGACTTTAGTAAATTTCATTTGCTGTTAGCCGCATTGTGTCAAAATAAATACGATTTTCTAAAATCACTTTATCTCCTTTCATAGAACTGCTTGCACAAAGAAGCATGTTGCTTTCCTGGTAAAAAGGCTAGAGGGATGGCATAGTATGTTTTAAATTTAGGCACCACAAACCAAAATAGAGACTTCTGCACTCATTGACACCATCTACCACTTGAGAATTGGTCGGTATGTTGGTAAGACTCTTACTTCGCTATGGCAGCCCTGTGTGAAAGAACAGTTATGTTTTGTGATCTAGAAGAGAGTAACATTTTCAAAAGTGATCCTAAGTCTCATTGAAAGTCAGTTGCATGATATTAAGAGTTGAGGCAAAGGCTATCCTAAAATTTTGGGAGTAGGGTGAACTCAAATTAGACATGTAGGATGGAACTTTCAGAATCATGCAGCTAACCTAACTGATCCCATTGAAGTCAATAGTTTTACTATTGACTTTGGTGGGAGCGGAGGTAGGCCATTGGCTGAGTGTTTTTGACAATTTTACCCATAAACTCTTAAATACAAATTAAAGTACTTTGCAATATTGCCATCTCTTTTTTCCTAAATGTAAACTGTGTGTTCTAAAATATTTTATATTTTATCTCTTGGTTCTAAATTTAGTGGGGAAATCATTTTGGAATATGATTTTGTAATGTTCTGTTAACATTTTATTTTTTTTATTTATTTTTTAGTCTATCAGCCTAACTATTTCATTCTTTTTTTTTTTTTTTTTTTTTGCAATCCAAGTAAATAAGCTAATGCCGGATATGCTCAAATGCATTTTTTAAATTAACATTCTGATGAAAGGAATTCTCTGAACATAATATATAATGTACACTACAGGGATATACTGGCATCTCTTTTGAAGGGTCTTATGTAAAGATTACATTAACAGAAATTTCTCGAGTGTTAAATACCTTTTTCCTCGGTTTAAAAAAAGAGATGTGTACAGAAAAATATTCCAAAGAAGGTACACGTGTGGAGTTGTGATTCAGTAAAAGAAGGCATTTGATTTAGACCTCTGTTCAGGAAAGTGTTTAAGCATATGCTTATGTACTTTCCTGAATCAGGACCTTAATCAGTAAACAAAAGAATTTGTAAACATCTGTACATTTCATACTTTAAACAGAGACCGACTTTGTTCACTCCTTGAAAAGACAGGATATGCTCAGATTTACATTTCAAGCAGGAGAGGTTCTTCTAAAAACAGCAATACATTCTGTGTTCACAAACAGACTTAAGATAAACTTTATCAAACTGTGTCTTTGCCAGCTTTTTCCTTTACAATCTATGATTTCATGTGCTGTATTATGCAGCACAAGGGGACAGTACTTCTCGCTAGCAATCGCAGTGCATAACTGGATGCTGATGATTAGGTGAACTGATTCCCCACAGGCTGCTACCAGTGTGATAGTGTTGTATTCTTTCAAAAACTGAGTGTGTTGTACAGCACTATGTGCAGCTAAGTATAATCACTTGTTTCTCCTTTGCACTGAAGAAAAGTTTGAAGATAAGGATAATTACTTTTTTTCAAAATGGGGGATAAGGAATCAAGTGACTATACTATGTATAACAAATATTTCATTCCCTTTCTCGTTTTTTCAGTTTCCATTCCTTTCTTCCATTTACACTCTTCTTTCTCTCTTTCCTCGAAAGCTGAAGACACTGTCCTTCCAGTTGAGGTCTGCTAAATACTATTCCCTTTGTAATGCTATCTGAAACAGCCAAGATGGATTGTTGCTCCGTGTTCTTCTCTGAGTACTCTGCCACCTTGGAAGCTAAGGACCACATTCAAGAGTCAGACTCTAATCCCCTGGCTGTAAACTCGTGTCTCTGAGGATTTTCTTGTGTAGAAGCTAACATTTGACTATATTTCAAGGAGAAAACAATTAAAGAGATTACAACTCTCTGCAGAAGTTTGTGGGACACTTTCCTACGCACTGTGCCCACAGGATGAAACTCAATCCTTTGGCACCTTTTAGGAATACAGTATATAAAATTGCTCTCTTAATCTATGTAAATCTGCATAATTTGGTATATTTTTAATTGTAGATATATTTTGTATCTGTTCATTCTTTCCCGTCTGAGAAATAGACAAGGATCTCTGTGCCTGAAGTGCATAATTTTGGTTAGTGTCCCTTCGCTGTTTCAGCCCATGTTTGTTCTGGTGTAATTCAACCAACCATGTTCTCAGTAGTGCACTACAGTGATGCATGCAGGCACACTTTAATTAACCAGCCTGTGTAGCAATTAACTTAAACTAGTTTGGAATAGAATTTTCAAATCCTGAATTTCTGTGATATTTGGGGGACAGAGGATGAGGTCCTTACCCCCTCTCTGCCAGAGTGCCATTTAAAAAGGGCTCTAAAAGTCCCATATTCACACTGGGGGAAGATGGCCCCAGCATAGATACTGTGGAAAACCACCATAAGGCTGTTTTCTGAGGCCCCTCCTCAGAAGCCCTGGCGTATGGGGGTGTGCCAGGCAAGGTTGGTCAAGAGGGTTGTGTCAAGAGAGGGGCCATAGCAGGCAGTGCTATGGCTCATAGAATCCCCTGGCAAGGCTTCAGTAATTTCAACAGAGCACCCTGGGCTTGAGAAGGTGCAAACGTGGCTTAACGCTTCTGATCTCAGAATTGCACCCAGCATTTAAAGAAAAGGAAACAATTGGAAAGTCACTGTTCTGATGCCATTCCATGTTTGATGTCCTTCATCTGCGTTGATATATATTAGAAATCTTTGACACTGTTAACATAAAGAGCCTGATCTTGTCACACTTACTTCTGTTGAGTACTACCTTACTCCTTGATTAGTCCTATTAACTTCAGTGGGTCCACTTCGGAGGGAGTAAAAGTGGCGGAATCAAGCACATAGTGTTAAATTAATTCTATTCACAGAATATTTTTCTGGCTAATGAATATAAATTACTCATTTCTAACTTATATAATGATTTCTCTCCTTTACTGCAGGTGGTGGAAATGGACTTTAAGAAGCTGTGACTCAACGTTTCATCCGTGAACTACAACGGTTTTTTTAATCTGATTGCACTACAAAAAAGCTGCTAATGGGATAAATGCTGAAAAGTTTCAAGAATTGACTTGAAGTACCAAAAGCCATTGTTGAAAATCAAGAAGAACTTGAACCTACATCAGTGTCATTCAGTCAATATTATTTCCTCACAACAGAATGGCAAGTAAACGAAAATCAACTACCCCGTGCATGGTCCTAGCAAGCGAGCAGGATCCAGACTTAGAAATGATATCAGATTTGGATGAAGGACCTCCTCTACTTACACCAGCAGAGAATGCTACAGCTGAGAGTATATCAAGTGATGAAGACATTCAAGAATATATGGATTCAGACAATCAGCAAAATAAAAAAGTTGAAGGTGGCTATGAATGTAAATACTGTACATTTCAGACACCAGATCTAAATATGTTTACTTTTCATGTTGATTCAGAACACCCTAATGTAGTATTAAATTCATCCTATGTCTGCGTGGAATGCAATTTTCTTACCAAAAGGTATGATGCTCTTTCAGAGCACAATCTGAAGTACCACCCTGGAGAAGAGAATTTTAAACTGACCATGGTGAAACGTAATAATCAGACAATCTTTGAGCAAACAGTGAACGATCTCACTTTTGATGGGAGTTTTGTGAAAGAGGAGAATGCTGAGCAATCCAACACCTCAGAGATCCCCTCATCAGGAATCTCAATTAGCAAAACCCCTATTATGAAAATGAAAAACAAAACTGAGACTAAACGAATTGCTGTTTTCCACAATGTAGCTGAAGACATTCCTGGTGAAGAAAAGGAAACTGAAAATGAGCCAGACTGTGAGGAAGTAGTCGAAACCCCACAATCAGCAGTTTCCGAGTCCAAAATGAACAATCCAGCTGCTTGCAGTGCAGCAGATACAACTAGCACCGTAATGACTCCAGCGCCAGTGATTCAACCTGGGGTGGCACAGGTAATAACTACTGTCACAGCTCCACAGAACTCTAACTTGATTCCAAAAGTCTTAATACCTGTAAACAGCATTCCAACCTACAACACTTCTTTGGATAACAATCCTCTTCTGCTCAACACCTATAAAAAATTTCCCTATCCAACCATGTCAGAAATCACCGTTCTCTCTGCTCAAGCTAAATATACCGAGGAACAGATTAAAATATGGTTTTCTGCCCAACGTCTGAAACATGGTGTGAGCTGGACACCAGAGGAAGTGGAAGAAGCGAGGAGGAAGCAATTTAATGGCACTGTGCATACTGTACCACAGACAATTACGGTTATTCCAGCACACATTTCAGCAGCCGGCAATGGTTTGCCATCCATCTTGCAGACATGCCAAATAGTTGGTCAGCCAGGTCTTGTCCTCACTCAAGTCGCAGGTACAAACACTTTGCCAGTAACAGCCCCTATAGCTCTGACAGTAGCAGGAGTCCCAAATCAGACACAATTACAGAAGAGCCAGATCCATACCGCCCAGCCTGTTGCAGAAACCAAGCAAGTAGCTGCCATTCCAGCCCCTCAGCTTATCAAACACGAAACCACATTAGTAAATCCGGATTCATTCGGCATCCGTGCAAAGAAGACGAAAGAACAGTTGGCAGAATTAAAAGTCAGCTACCTTAAAAATCAGTTCCCTCATGATTCAGAGATTATTAGGCTCATGAAAATAACAGGCCTGACCAAAGGAGAAATCAAAAAGTGGTTCAGTGATACACGATACAACCAGAGAAACTCAAAAAATAATCATGGCATTCATCTCAACAACGATTCTTCCACCACCATTATTATTGATTCAAGTGATGAAACAAATGAGTCCCCAACAGTAGTCACGCCACAGCATAAGCAGTCGTGGAATGCTTTTCCTGATTTCACCCCACAGAAATTCAAAGAAAAGACTGCTGAACAGTTGCACAACCTCCAAGCAAGTTTTCTCAATAACCCTGTCCTGACAGACGAAGAGCTGAATAGGTTAAGGACACAGACTAAACTGACCAGAAGAGAGATCAATGCCTGGTTTACAGAGAGAAAGAAAACAAATGCTTTAAAGGAAGAAGAAGCTGAGTTAAAAGAGAGCAATGCAAGCGGCTCAAAAGATGAGGCTGGAGAAACTTCTCAGGGAGAGGGATCTGTATGGCTAAGATCAGGGGGTTCTGCAAGCAAGGTGGGTAAAAAGTCACCAGAGCAGTTACATATGCTTAAAAGTTCATTTGTCCGTACTCAGTGGCCATCCCCACAAGAATACGACAAACTGGCAGAAGAAACTGGCCTTCCGAGATCGGACATTGTTAGCTGGTTTGGAGATACGCGTTATGCCTGGAAAAATGGTGGTTTGAAATGGTACTATTACTACCAGGGTTCCAGTGGGAATTGTATGAATGGTCAAGCCTTTGTCAGAAGGAGGGGGAGAGGGAGACCGAAAGGAAGGGGAAGAGGAAGGCCTCGTGGGCGGCCTCGGGGAAGCAAAAGGATAAACAACTGGGACAGAGGATCCTCCGTCATCAAATTCAAAACTGGAACAGCAATCCTTAAGGATTATTATATGAAGCACAAATTCCTCAACGAGCAAGACCTTGATGAACTTGTAGCCAGATCTCACATGGGATATGAGCAGGTCAGAGAGTGGTTTGCAGAAAGGCAAAGAAGATCAGAGCTAGGCATAGAGCTGTTTGAGGAGAATGAGGATGAAGAAGAAATGCTGGATGATCAGGAAGAGGAGGAAGAAACGGATGATAGTGACACTTGGGAACCCCCCCGACATGTTAAGCGTAAACTCTCTAAATCAGATTGACATGTAAGTTTGGGGCTTGGGGCAAAAAACCCGTAAATTATATTTGACATTATTGTGAAGAGCCAAATAGTTTTTAAAGGCTTTCCGTTTTAGTGAACACCTTCCTAGCACGTTCCCTCCACCTGAGAGAGTGGACAAGATGCTACCTGTGCAGCCACCAAATATTTGCTTCCTGGCTAGCAGAGATGGACATGCTCAGTGCTAGCCCAGGGTTTGGAACTATAAATCCAACCCAAATTCTGCTCCTGCTCCTGCTCCTGCTCCTCCTCCTCCTCCACATCACTGCTGAGGGCTCATCATTTAAGTGACTATTTATAAATATTTAATTGCCTTGTGTTTAATTCCAAAAAAACACAGCTGCATTTTTCATTGTTATAGGAGAACATTACCCGCTCTTGGAGGAGGAAAATACAAAAACCTAATATGTCTTTTTGCAAACCTTGCTTTACCTCCTAAGGCTTCAGAGCTTGGGGTGTTTGTTTCTTAAAGGAAAGAATTCAAAAACAGAAAAGAAGGGGAAAAGTATGACAAAGGAATCAATAACCACAGGGGTGAGAATTACTTGGTTTTAGAAACTAGGTGAAATGATTGTCGTGTTTTTCAAAGTGTTTCGGGTTTACGGAACTTGTGCTGAAAATGTCTGTTATCGTGAGCTGAGTCAGTTGAAATGTAGGGCTATAAGATGCTGTTCATTAAACTTAATCAGCATATCCAGAAATCCATTCTACATCCATGTAACTGAAATGCATGGTAGTCCTGATGTGATCCATATCAGCATTCATTTTTTGCTTACGCATTTGCTCTTATGTTGGAAAATGGTAACATAAAAGTCCTTGGAAATCAAATGCTGTATTCTGAAAAAGGTCAATATGCCGACGAGTTAGGAAAGTTGCTTTAAAAACTGTTCAGAATCAGCTGCTTTGTTTAGAATCAAAGACATGAAAAGACAGGGCAGAGATTAAAAACATCTGCAAATTCACTGAATGCTAGGAAAAACACTTCACCTTTTAAAAGTAGCTAAAGAGCCCCGTTTTTTAATTCCTATAGAAAATTAAAACATGACTGCTATTGCCTCTTAGTCTTTGGGTGTAACAAACTATACGTACACACGTCTCATTGTTCATCTCTAGTGGCAGCCCAGCTGAACGATTTGCATGCAAGTTTAACCAAACTTCATCCTAATGGATTCAGCCCATCAGTGTGATAATTACTTCTATGAATGTGCAGGGCAATAAAACTACATGGTCAAATATTCTGGTTTAAACTCAAAGTTTGACTTACCTGGACTGAACTCCAGAATTGTTTGAATTTGATAGGGAATGTCTTCTGAATCTTAAATATTAGTTTCTCTAAAAATCAACCAGTTGGTCCCAAGAAAAAATAATTTCCAGTGCTTGAGCAGACCACTTTAAAACAATGGCCTAGATTCACTAAACACAGCTCAGGAAGGTGCCTCACACTAAGGATAGGCAGTCAGTATTTCTACTGCCATCTTCCCTTATATCCTGCTGGAAGGAGAAGCAACTTAAAATTTCACTGGGTCTTTTAATTCCACCATGGAGAGGAGATGCTGAAACAACATTCCTGGTCCCCTGGCCAGTGATGTCTACTTTTTGGGTGGGCATTAGCCCCCTACAAAAACATCCTATTATCACGTACATTCTCCTTTTGTGCCTTCTCCCCAGTGGGCACCCTGCTTCCAGGGGCCTGTAGAAGGCAGCGTAAACCTGAGTCAAATCTAGCCCAGTGTTTCTGCACCTTCAGTACCCAAGTTCAGAACTCCTGGGGCTCTCTTCTTCCTCACAGAGATAAGTGGTGACAAAAGATCAATCACTTTCCCTCTGACCATGAGCTTGGAAGCTATGGAAACCTTAGTAGCAGTAGCTCTTACAAAGCGCACGCACGCTCGCTCTCTCCCTGTTTCTCTGATTATGGGTGACACCCAGATGAAACAAAAAGGAAGGGCAAAATATGCTTTGTCTCGAAAAAAACATCTTGCAGCTGACTATTTGTGTTTAACTTGTGCTCCCTCTCCAGACATATCTGCAGCCACCTCTGTAATTTCATGTCTAAAGTGCTGACTCAGCTGCTGGAGGATATTCTATCTGAAATTCCAAAGCATGTGATTGAGTGTGTTCTCCTTGTCTGTTCAATATTACAGACAAACGTTAAGGCAGTATGTATTTGAGCAGATGTTGCAGGATTCAACTTTGGAAGTATCAGGTGGCTTGAGGGACCAGAACAGAGCACCAAAAGTCCAGCAATGTGATTGATCTTTTGTTGGTACCTATCATTGTGAGGATGAATTATAACCCCTCCAATCTGAACTGGAATATTGATAAATGTAATTACCAGTTACAACTTTGGGGGAAGCACACTGATGTTTCCAGGGGAGCTCATGACACTGGGTATATGCTAGTTTGACACAGATCAGTATCTGGCCTATTCTTTTTGGGCTTCAGCTTCTAAAAGTGTCTCAGTGATTAACAAATACCCTTGTTAGGCTGATGCTGATATAGATGAGGCTGTTGCACAAGCTAGAAAGAACCCTTTTTAAAAAAAAGCCTTGTTAATTTCAAGCTCCATTGCAAATGTAGGGTCAAAAATTAGTGTTTGCCAAATGGGAAACAATAAAACTAGTAGGGAGAGAAACGCTATTTTTAAACTTCCAAGAATATTAAAATAAACCCTGAAACTCCTTAGCACTGTGTCTCTAATAAGCAAAGTCTGGACTTTCCCTAATATTTAGGGGTGACCAGAAGTTTAGATTTTTCTTTTAACATTGTTAAAATAAATTTTTTTCCTGTTTTCTTAAGAGATTGTTTTTAGGCCAATATTGAACTGAACTTTTTTTAAAATGTGGTATGATCTAATTGGGAAGATCTCCAGATCATTTTGGTTGTGGTCTCTTAAATATCACCACCTATGAGATGAGAAAGACATGAAGGGATAATAGATTTAAGTATTTATTCTGATACTCCTGGGATGAGAGTCTTTCAGTAAAATACTCTGATTACTTTTAACATATACTGGGACAGATTCTCAACTGGTATAAATGATCTAGCTCCATTGACTCCAGTGGAGTTACGGTGATTTACATGAGCTGAGGATCTGGACCACTACCTCTTTGAATTCTGGAAGGTGTAAAACAAAACAAACACTAGAGGCCTGCTCATGGGAAGCGCTGAGCATCCACCACCCTTATTAAAGACAAATGAGCGTTCTGAGCCTTCCAAGCCTGAGCGTGATGATAAAATGCTGACTTAGATTAACCAGTGAAGTTCCTAGGAGTTGTGTGCGCTCAGCACTGCTCATAATCTGACCCTATTAACAGACCCTTAAAAGAAATAATTAGTATTTATACATTTCTGTGGAGAGGAGGGGGTTCCTTCTTATGGATGCTTCTGTCATCTCACCACAACTGACATGAAAATGAATCACTAAAAAGTACTGTCTGTGTGGAAGATTGCAGGATTGTCTGTTGTTTCTGTAATTGTAGCAATGGCAGGTAAGAAGCAAAATGTACTTTACTACAGTGGCTCCAAAGTCTTGTTGCTTAGCCCTGCGATGCGCTGCTGATGCTTGCCTGCCTCTGAGGGTTTGTCTCTGCTTGGAAATTGACTGAAATAAACTATTCTGGAATAATCATCACTTGGATTAAGCTAAATCAGAGAAAGGCACTCTTATTCTGGAATAAGAGTGTCCATACAGAGGCTTATACTGAAATAACTAATTCTAATAATTATTTGGGAATAGCTATTTTGGTAAATTTCCAAATGTAGAAAAGCCTTTAATATGCTCTCTCTGTTTCTGTAAAGCTTGGACTGTCAGGATCAGAAGTAGCCTAGGTGCTCTGTGATGGCATTAAAGCATGTACTATTGAGTGGAGATGGGGAACTACCTGGGAGAGCTCAAGTCTTAGCCCTAGGTAAATGGCGGAGTTGAACAAAAAAAATTAAGAACCACTGTTTTAGAACGCACCTGTGGATGTGGCTGGCTGAGAACAAATACAGAACTAAAATTTTCTCCTTCCTTTTGCTCTGATGTTTCTACCAAGAATATCTGATCTGATTATGTAGTTGCTGCTGCCTTTGAATCTTAGCTGATGGAAGAATAAAGAAGTTTCCATGCCAGAATGCAGAGAGACATGAAGTAAAAGAAACTGGTGCCTGGGTGGGCTCATGGTCCAGTGTTACCACGGTATGCTGCCTCCTGGGAAAATCCCTCAGGCACTGTGCAACCAGCTCACTTCGTTCTTAAGGAAGAGGGATGTTTGATATCTTTCAAGTGATCCTCTCCTACGGTCCCAGAAGTGCTGTTGGCTGGCTGTAGAGGGAGTCAAAGCCAGCCTTCTAAGACCACGTGGATGAGAACCAGCCAGATATAGGCCCTTTGAGAAGGGGGGAAATGGAGAAGCCTGGAGAATTTTTCTTCACTTACTCCGAAAAAAAATCCACTTCTCTAAAATTTCATAAGCAAACCATGATCCATTTCTTGTTCTGTCAGAACCGCAAGGGGTAGTAAGCTAGGTTTTGTGCCCCTCTCCTCCCTCACATTTAACTATTCTGAACCTCTGCATAGCGTTGAACGCAAAGAAGGAGCTAATTCCTTTTCTTCCCTTTTTTCTACATAGTGATTGAAGTTGAGTGATTTTCCCCAATACATTATAAAAGTTGGGCCACTCAGTGTGTGCATTTGTCCATCAGAATATTTAAATTGCTTTTGAATAAATTCATATGACGCTTCCATCCCTAGCTGTAATATTGATCGCTGGCGATAATGTGAATGCATTAGGCCTCCCCAAGGAATCTTTCACCTATTGCTTACTGACTTTGGGCAAAATCCTGTCCCCTTTGTGACTGCTGGGGATCTCTGATGCAGTTGAACAGATTTCTTTTTGCTGTACAGAGTTGGGGCAGGATTTCTGGAGCCACCACACAAGAGGTACAAAGCCCAGGGATGTAGATCCATTAGCTGTTCTCCCCCTGAAGTGGGAGCAGAGCAATAGCTAGGACAATTACAGTCTCAGGCCATGTAATACCTGTGCTGCCACTCCTCAGCTCAGGGTAGGAGAGGGGCATTGCCCCTTCTGCACGAATGGATTACTGTAGTTGGATCCTTAGTGTTTCCTTCTGTAATTATGACAGGCTTGGCTTCAGCCAGCACCATATCTGTATATATTCGTAGTACCTCCCAAGGAGAGAAGGCAAATTTTCAAGCTGCTGTCTTGCTAATACCCAAACCCTAACCTGGAAGCTTGAAAACTGGGCATGCAGCGAAATAATATTGACTGTCAGGGATTTAATTGGGCTTTGCTTGGCAATAGGGCTTTAAAAACATTACATACTAATGAAGAGACATGAATATTAGTGATCAAGAGATCAATAAATATATTGAAAATCGTTCAAACTGGTAGAATCATATAAACTACAGATGGAAAAGATCTATAACGGATTCCATTCCCTCCCCCTCCCTATGCAATGCTGGGTTGTTTCCTGCTCTGTCTAGGTTTTAAATACCTTGTGTGTCATAGGATAAACAGACAGCAAATAGCATGGCAGGGGCTTCTTGGGTCAAGTTACTTTGGAGCTTTTGTACTGTATTATTAATATTATGGAGAAAATGACTCAAAATGAGTATGCACTTTATATAGCATTTTTCATCCCACTATCTCAAACAAATTTACAGAGGTGTGAGTATTATCCCCATTTTAAAATGGGAAAACTAAGGCTTAGAAGGATTAAGGCCTATATTCTTAAACTTTATGGCCTGATGTTTCCCAGATATTGAGTTCCTGTACATGTCACTGACTTCAGTGAACTCTCGGGGTGCTCAGCACCTCTGAAAACTCAGGGCAGTTTTTTAGCTCCTTGAATGTGAGTACTAAAATTTGAAAATTTTGGCTTAAGCAATATTCCCAAGGTCAAGAGCGGTCATTAATAATTCTGTGGCACTCTTCACAGAGTATGGATTAACTTGTGTCCTGGCCAAGTTCCAGCTTTGATCATTACATTCTGTCTACCTAAATTCTCTCTGCAGTTTGTTAGATATGGTACTTGCCTTCCTCTGCTCTCCTAAACTGTTGTGTGGTGGTGTGCCTTTTTTTTTTTTTTTTTTTCTCTCCCCCCCCCCCCCCCCCCCAATGCTACCTCCACATTTTACCCCCGAGGTGGCAGCACTATAGTTGTGGATGAAATGGTGCCTGGATCTAATAGTCTGGCTTATATTTCAATGTAGAGCATTTGGAGGTGAAAAGTGCTATAGACATCTCGGGTTTTATTTATCACAGCACAGCAAATTAAGTTGCGATATTATTTGCCGTGTTCCATGTACCTCTTCGGATCAAAAATAGTCCATGATACTTTTCCTAAATTATCTGCTAACATAATGTGAAAGCATGAGTTGCAAAGCCATCAGCTGTGTTCTGACAAGACAAACCACAGGAATTCCTGCTACGTTATGACTTCCAAGTAGCTTTCTTCCCTAGTCCCAGCTTCTGAAAATGTTTCTAGATATGTCAAGTAGTCTGATCTGGGCATATTTGCAGTTTGTATAATACCAATATTAAAAATTAGTTGTCCTCCCTGGGAAGGCTTTATTTCTAGAAAATGTTGCACTGGATTCCACTCTTCATGTGCACAGGAGAGTTAACAGGAATCTATTTGGTTTACGTAAATGATCGTGCTCTGCAGTTTTTAGTAACTGCAGTATATTTGTCTTGTTTCACATGTGAAATGCAATTAAGTTAATACTTTGTAGGGTATTTGAAGTACAAGAAAAGTGATTGACTAATGACCAGCAAGGTTCTGGGAGGTGACCAGCAAGTAGCAAGCTGTATGATCTATGTCTGGTGTATGTAATCATGTTAAAGGAAGCCATCCTGGCATTTTAGAAAGAAGTGTTTCTCTTGAATGATTCAGTAGCTTACAGTGTCTTTCCTTTGTAGCTGCCCAAAGTGGTGAAGGGGAAGCAAGATATCTGGTTTACTGTGAATGGGCCTAATCTTTCGTGAAACCAAGAAAATTTTGAGACACACACAGGATTGAATACTCAAAAGGATTGGAACTTAGTGTTGTGCCAAAGTTAAACTACTGCAGCTGGCAGAAGTTCTGCACTGTAAATAGAAGACTGATTAAAAGACTACTTGTAAAACAAATTTTAATACAGTACATTTTTATTCTGATACATGATGGAAACTTTCTGTTTTAGACCTTTTTTGAAGGGGCTTCAGTGACCACTAGATTTTGTCCTCTATTTTGTCCAGCTTAATACTGTACATTCTAGTAAGATGGGCTTTATTGCCTGTGTTCTTTGATATGTGATTAAGCTTATAGCTTTGAGTGACCAAACATTTTACAGAGTAAAAGTTCTTAGAAAAAGTAAACGTAACTGATATTTGTGTCTTATTTATCAGGCTCTGCACAAACTTTGAAAGTTGTGAATGCACTTGTACAACTTACACATACAATTGGGAATGCATGGGATTCTTCTCAATATTACAAAACTAAGCCTTTGTGGCATTATGGATCATTATGGATCTTGTCTTTGGAATTTTTTTTTTTAAGATGAAGATATGAATGAGTGCCGCTGTTAAATATTTGTAATATTTCCATTCCTGCTTTCAATAGAGGCCTATTTTGCTTTAACACCTGAAGAAAATAACAAGAGAGAGAGAGAAAATAAAAAGAAGCTGTCAGAAGAATGAATACTGAGGGAACCACTGAACATAAACTTTGTACCAAAAATTTGAAAACAGAAATAATGTAATATGTCCTTAGTGAGTGTGTGTGTGTGTGTGTGTGTGTGTGTGTGTGTGTGTGTGTGTGTGTTTATAAGGATTATGCAGAAACTAGGAACTGTCTTTGTTCAAATATTTAGCAGTCCAGAGCTTTTCTAGCATCATTTTCTCTGTTCATTGTTAACTACGTTGCCATGTCAGGAGGCCTGAACATTCATGTAAACTCTTTCTGTTAAGGCAGATGCTCTTCATTCATATTTTTAAAATAATTTTGGGAGGATATTTTTAAAGATGACAAAGGGGATTAGGCACCCAATTCCCCCTGAAAGTCATTGGGAGCTGAGCACCTAAATCCCCTTTGTGCCTTTTGAAAAATCTCCCCATTTGTGGCTACAGGACCATTTTTTAAATGTGCTTTTTCTTCAGAGAATTTTTTTTGAAATGAGCATGTTCCATTTAAAGCCCAGCTCATGTACAAATAACTGCAGAGAAAATCCTGCTCGCCTTCATTCACACAAACCCCCAGTTGGAGCCAGTATGTGAGCTTTGCATGAATAAGACTAAGGGCTTGTCTACATGCACAAGTTGTAATATTTTGACTATACTAGTATACTTTAAGCGGAACAACTCCCTAGCGTGGATACACTAATATCTATATAAGGGTGGTTTACACTGGTATAGCTATTCCCATACAGGAAGAGGAATAAGCTATACCGGTGTAAAATCAACCCGATTATTGATAGTTATACCAGTCCAAAAACTATAGACAGGCCCAGGAGTTATTAGCTCCCTACTCTTTGCGCAATCTGGTCTACACAACTCATAGAATGATACATCGTAAAGAATGTTTTTTACTGAAGCATTTGTCAGCTAACAAAAGAGATACAGAGGAGCCTTGAATATGCATGCTGCTTTCATTTTTGTAAATGGTTACCTTTTTTAACTACAGCTTTATTAGTAATTCCAAAATACCGCGATTTAGTTGATATTTTCGCAACAGACCAGCTGGCTTTGTGAGTTGGTGTCTTTTTTTTATTTCTTTTTCATACTGCTGTCAACTACTATTTTTTTAATAATGTAAAATATGCAGAAAGTTTGTACACTGCTTTATTTTTCTTTTTTACTCCATAGAGCACTCAGAAGTATAATGTTAAATTGCTGTTTGGGGTATTTTTTTTGTTTTGTTTTGTTTTTTCTTTCTTTCAGCATTGCTGATTGTGGTCTTTGATCCATTTGACAGTAGTTTCTTAACATTTTCAGCTGTTGAACAGATTTGTTGTGCTTCAGGTATTGTAAAATGAAGCCTTTGAATATATTTATATTATCTGTTTCCACTGCAATAATGTTTAACCATCTATAGTTGTAAATAATTCTTACCAGTGTGTGTTTCCTTACAGGCTTAATGCTGATCTGATGTTTGCTAGCTTACAATATTTATTTGACAGAGAAGAAGGAAAAAAAAAAATCTGTCTCACCCAGTTGATTTGTGTTTTTTCGGTGCATAATAAAGGTCAGCATTCAGTAGTAATTTTCTTTTTAGTGATTTTCCATTTTCTTAAATGAAAATCAAATAGTTATAAAAAGAATTAGTGACGCCTCTCTTAAGGGATAAACAAAAATGGGTTGCTTAACAGAGATGGTCTCTAATCAAAGTGCAGTCACGTGGTATTTGAAGCCTTTAAAGATACTTTGAAGATGGAATGTTGCCTAACAAGACCCTGACCTTGCAATTTGTTGTATGCAGCAGACTGCTGTGCCCCTGTGGAATCCCACTGATTTTAATGAGGCTCAGCATGGGCACAGCAATCTGTCTGCACAACAACAAAGTGCAGGAAGAGGCGCTATAGCTATATTATGTTTGTGCATTTGATGGCAGTACTTTGGGCCCCATTTTCCACTTGCCTTGTATAAAGCAACAGAGGGTCCTGTGGCACCTTTAAGACTAACAGAAGTATTGGGAGCATAAGCTTTCGTGGGTAAAAACCTCACTTCTTCAGATGCAAGTAATGGAAATCTCCAGAGGCAGGTATAAATCATATGGAGATAACGAGGTTAGTTCAATCAGGGAGGGTGAGGTGCTCTGCTAGCCGTTGAGGTGTGCCTTGTATAGTCACTTACACCCGTGCAGAGTGAGTGTAAAACACTGTCATTCTGAGTTGTTAGCAATTTACACTTGCTTTGCCTAGGAGTAAATTACTATGCAAGGTGCAAGGCAGTGGAGAATCAGATCATACAGATATATCATTAGTTTAACTGTTGCCTCTGTATAGCGAGTTTCCCCTGTGGTCTCTTCACACGAGAGGGGAGAGAAGAAACAAACAAAACAAAAAAGAAAGGAAAATCTGACTGTAAAAGCAAAAATATTGGCAGGGTGATTCGGGTAGGTATAATGTCTGGAACTACTTTTAAATTGTCTAGCTTGTCTGAAGGTGTCCCTTTAAGACAAGAAACTGAGACAAGGTTGTAGGAAAGGCAGTTCAGTTTAATAGATGCAGTTACAACTTCTAAGCAACTAAATATGGCTACCAGTACCCAGAAAAAGTTTTATATAAGAAATGGGCGAAGCTCTGAGCTGCTACCCAGGGGCACTCCTGGTTCACTTCTGGCTGCAAAGGCTCACAAAAGAGTTCTGGAAGAGTTTTTCTGCAGGACGGGAACAGACCTTTAAAGTAAAGTGCCCATACAAAGACACCCATTCAACACAGGCTTAGTATGTGGGTTCATTCAAGTTCTTGTGCTGCTTTTTGAAGAACTTTCCTGGTCTTCTAAGTTTAAGACAAGAGTTTCTTCACTGAAGGTCTGAACAATGGGCTTGATCGGGCCCCGAAGGAGCAGAGATCTAGTCGCACTTGTTTAGAGGCAGATCCTTTGCCCTGTTACAGCAGTCAGCATGTTTTCAGAGGAGGGTTTCCACTGGACTCTGTGCCCTTGCGAGGTAGTCCTTATGCCATAGCAGTTCTTTAAGTAGATGTCCCTACAGGTGCTCCACCATAGCATGTGCGCATGTCTGTGCACTCTGAACTGCAGAATGTAAAGCAGGGTCTGCAGGTCTGCACCTGCACAGAGCAGCTCCTCATGTTCCCATATGAGGGCATATAGGAAGGTGTGGACCTGCAGCTACTCGGTTCTGTCTCAACTGCCTGCGGCCCCAGATGGAACACATGGTATCAGCTGTTCTACAGCTTCCCATCCTTTCTCACTGTGAATTTTTCTTATTTTTATTTAATTTCAGCACAGTTGTGCTTTTGCCGGGGGTCCTCCGCCCTTTTACACTGTTGGTTTAGTGTTTCGGCACACCAGCCAAAGACCCTGGGGTTTAAGCCCTGCCAGATGCACAGGTCTTTTTTCCCATAGCGACAGGCATTCTAGGTGACTCAGAGACACATACATCCTGTCAAAGTGCAATGTCTGCTTTGAGTTTAAAGGCAGATCTAGAAAAAATAGGCTAGTTTGAAGTTCCTCTTCATGGAACCCTCTCTAGCTCCAGCGGCGTCTGCTTCTCCCATCACTCCACCCCCTGGTAGATGAGCCTCAATATCTCGGATTCCTCTGGTGACAGCTGGCGCCCCAGCAGCAGCTCCAGAGGCTGAGACTTCTAAGAAGAAACCTCCCTCTCGTACTAGGGGAAACAAAGAGGAGAGGTCGGTCACCCCATAAATATCACTCCTGGGAGACTTCACATTCTTCAAGGAGCACCACTGAGGGGCCGACTGAAATTGGTCCCGAGGCACAGGTACTGCATAGGAAGTACATAAGCACGGCCATACTGGGTCAGACCAAAGGTCCATCCAGCCCAGTATCCTGTCTGCCGACAGTGGCCAATGCCAGGTGCCCTCAGAGGGAGTGAACCAAACAGGTAATGATCAAGTGATCTCTCTCCTGCCATCCATCACCACCCTCTGACAAACAGAGGCTAGGGACATCATTCCTTACCCATCCTGGCTAATACCCATTAATGGACTTAGTGTGCAAAGAAGTCTTCTACCCCACAGAGTGGTCTGTTTGACTATGGGGCCTAAAAAAATGTCTTTCACTGTTGTAAGTTCAAATATAAGAAGTGAGAGAAAGTTCATAAGATGTTACAATAACCTATAATTTTTGCCTACTTGGAAATTAACCAATAAAAATAGGCTGAGTTGTTTTCAATAAATGAATTTTATAATCAACTCCAAGAAAACCAGCCAAAGAAGCTAGATTAGTCCAAACAGAAAGGACCTGCTAATATGATTCAAGGACTGTTGAAATCATGTTTGGTGGAATCAGAAGTCAATGGACTGAAATTGGTGTGACAGATATTAGGCCTACTTAGTGGACAAAATAAGGAGGAGGGGATGAACCATTTCTCCCCTTTTTGGGTTCCTTATATAAAAAACAAATTGGGGTGGAAAAAAAGCATTTTCATCTCTCTCATCTTGCATCCCAGTTCATCTGGTCTTGTCACATCTCATCTTTCCTGACCCCAAGACAGAAGGAGCACTCCTTCTCCAAGAGGAAGGCCTGCTGGCCGTGCTTTTGTTTAAGTAACTTTATTTTCATCTGTGAGTGCAGCAAATCATCATACCATGACATCCAGTCTTCATCCCATCAGGGGGTTACCTCACTGCCAGCATTGCAGAGACACGCAAGATCCTGTTGTGCCTCCCTTCCCCATTGTGTTACTTTCTGTCTTACTATTTCTTTCCTCCTGTTCCCCCTCTCGCTGCTTTTCATCGAATCCAAACTGCATCAACCCAAGCCTGCCCTGTCTAGAGAGACCCCCACCACGTGACATCCCTGACCAGAATGTGCATGCGTGTCCAAGTGACAGGTGCCATGGTCGATCTGCCAGCCAAAGCATCCATTCCTGACTGACCTGCTATCCAGTGTTCCAAAGACATCAACAAAAGCCGTATTTCCCCGCACCTTTTCTCTCTCTCCTCCACCTTCTGTCTGTTAGAAACAGGAGAAGTGAATACCCTTTACACATCAGGACTGAAAGTTAAATGAACCCTTTCCTTTTCATCAGAGGAAGGTTATTTTGAAAATAAGAGGCTGATATTTTGCCTCTGAAAGGAGAG